CAGAAGCCTGACTGGCTGTTCCTTGCTCCACCCCAAGCTCAGGTTGGATAGGATTTCTCATATTTTAGTGTCCAGATCAGGCAAATCTACAGAGATAGAAAGTAGATTCGTGGCATTCAGGGGCTGGGGAGAGGGGAAGGAGAATGCAGAGTGACTTCTAATGGCCATGATGTTTCTTTCTGATGTGATAAAAATGTTTCAAAATTAGATTATTACAATGGCTGCATAACTCTGTAAATATACCAACAATCATTGAATTACATACTTCAAACTGGTGGATTTTATGGTATATAAATTAATGTCAATATGACTGTAAAAAAAAAAAAGATTTCAGATATTTTGGATTTGCTCAGCTGAAGCGTGAGTGCCTCTGGGAAAGGTTACATGCCGAGCCCTTCACACATGACTTACTGAGCAGAAAGCTCTCCAGGTAGTTACTTACTTGGCGGTAAGGATGTAAGTCTTGTAGTTACTGTTTCGGAGATAACTAGAAAAAGAAAAAGAAAAGATGAGATCTTATGTAATGCACTAAAGTCTCTGTGTTTTGGCAAGGTCTAATGTCTTTCATAGGCTTAGCACATCAAATTGGGTTCAACAGAGATTTTTGTATACTTGTGCCTTAAAGTATGTGATCTGCCCCACTACACACGAAAATATGTGCAATAACAATGGGGCTTAATGTATCAAGAAAATAAGTTTATATCCCTTTGAAACCAAAAGTAGGTAGCTACCCATTGATTTGAAAATTGGTTTTCTTGGTGTCAATGTTAAAAATTAGATCCAATCCAGGCCCAGATTTACCTTTGAAGAAATAGCAGGCCCCCAAGTCATGCTCAAATGTCTCAGGTCACACTCTTTTTTTTGTACTGTCCCTTCCAAATGGTCACCCAGTCCAGATGGGGCCAGTGCATCATCCTGGCTGTTTCTATTGTGAAGTGGATAATTACCTTGTACTTTTTAAAAAAATGAATTTGGGGGTATCTTGAAGATATCATAATTCATTCTAAAATCTTCAGGACCATCCCTGAGTGTGAGTAGGTATAGGAAGGAAGGGGGTCGGCAAGTCACATTTGGTGCTTGGCGAAATTAGGGATAAATGAACATCAAAGTCACACTTGAAGTGCCAGTCTCTTTGCCTCCTAAAATTGAGCTTCACTAGACTCCAAATGGTGATGAGCCTACAGAGGTCATAAGGGCTTTGGCATTTTTTAAAGCACCAGTTAGAAAAAAGACCGCCTGTCTTCCTGAGTCACCCTCTCTTCTTCAGCAGCATGGGGAAGTGGGTAGAGCCTCCAAACCACAGTGGGGCCAGTTTCATACTCTGATCACGCCCGCCCCTGCTACCTCCCTCTGTGCTAGACATAAAGGCTCACCTAACTCCTTGCAGTCACGGGTCTTTAAATGCTCTTCGTGTGTGTGTGCACACAAGTGTGTGCATGCCCAGGCCTATGTGTATGTGTGGTGCGCATGTGCACAGGCATGTGACTAAGAGGGACGAAAGGAGAAAAGGATGGAAGAAGATGGTGCAGGATCGTTCTGTGCCACTTTAAGCTGTGTTGCTCACAACCGCTCCACTCCACACCAGTCTCACTACAAAGCCCCCTTGCTCCTTCCTTCTTTAAACTGCATTTTCTTAATGAGCTTTGCTGTCCTAGCAGAAATGTGGGGTTATGAATGCAGCAGAAACAGCCTTCCATACATAAAAGGAAATGGTTTTTCAGACTAAAATGGCAGCTTGATTTGAATAACGGTCCTGAGCTGTCACTAAAATCTTTCAATGTATGGACATGTGGGATTCTTTGACACATAAAAATAAATTATTTCTTAACTTAAAGTTCCAAGTCTGTGGAGCCAGAATTTTTTTTATTGGAGATATATGGAAGTCACAGGATAAGTGAAAGAGTTAGAGCTGCTCAGGGAACAGTTTAAATGTCTTTGAAGTTATCATTCGGGCAGTTTTGCAAAAGAAATAAGTCTGTTTCCAGTTTTCACAGTAGATTGCAACTGTGACATTAGAGTTATTCCAACTTCGTTGCTTCAATAATGGGGATATTATTCTTTTGAATTTCTGTTGCCCTATATTCCTAAATAAGGAAATGGTTAAATACACTATGATGAATTCATTCAATAGAATATTATGCAACCATTAAAAATGCTGGTTATAGGAACTACACATCAAAAGGACAGTTTCATCTTCAAAGAAAAAGCAGAGCATATTTTGATTATAAGTATCTTAAAATAAAAATCAACAAAAGGCATATCATGAGAAGGAAGAAAACTCTGTTTAGGAACATGTTTAAAATGATACTGTTTTCAAAAAAGACAAAAATATTCCAAGAAAAAACTAAAAACTAAAAACAAAACAAAACAAAAAAAATGATACAATAGAAACGATACAGAAATGGTTATTTACTCTTTCCAAATTTTTATTACTTTTGTAATGACATATATCTCATGCTCTTACTTCTTTCAGTGACTTCGGTGCCATCTCTTTTGTTTTTCTTGGTTACATCCATACCATAGCCACCTGTGGAAAAAGCCAGAAACCATGAATGGCCATGCCTCTTACCATCACTTTTCCTAAAGAAAGATTCTCAAACTGAGAACCTAAAACCTGATTCCTAGAATTCAAAGAACAATTATTTAATATGCATACTTTTTACATGTGTCATTCCCACTTCTTGTATCAATTATAATAGAGAGTAATTTATTAGTCCCACTTTGGATTCTATTCCTTGTACTATCTCGTTTTTCAAGATCTAACTGAGCAGGCTGCCCCCTGCTGGGCATTAAAGGGCTTACATAGAAGATGTGCTCCGACCTTGACTAGAAAACTATATTATTTGCCAAATAGCTGAAGGATATCCGTCAAAGCACTTAGTGCTTTCAGCTAACTTGTAATCTTCAATGTGCTATGTGGAGCTCTATGAATATAAGACATTTATGCTTTATTATTTAGAATTCGGGTGTGAAAGTGATGTTTGGTGGGTTGAAAGTAAGATAAAAATCATTATAATGGTCATACTTGCATGGAACTTTACACTTTTCACCATATGAAACTTGCTCTTTTAAACAAACTGGCTCTACTATGCTTCTTTGTAGACATAAATAGGAAAAATATATTTATTTTTTATTTTTCTTTTTAGGTGAGGCAACCCTTGGTTGACCTCACAGATTGCAAGGACCTTGTCAGCTTACAATCCCTTATTTTTAATTTTTTACGCCTACAGCACCTGGTCTTCTTAGGTGGTTTCCCATCCAAGTACTAGCCAGACCCAACCCTGCTTAGCTTCCAAGATCAGACAGGATTGGGCTTGTTCAGGGTGGAATGGCCATAGATGGAAAAATATATTTAAAAATATGTGTAAAAATCTATTGAAATATGTAGGATAATAGCTATTTGTATACATTAGCTACATTCTCCCTTCACTCTGCTTCTGGAAAAGAAAATCACTGAGATCTTGTCCACTGTGTGACTGAGGCAGGGCTGACATGAAAGGGTGGGCTGGGGTGGGGTTCAGACCTAAACATGCAGGAGAGCACAGCAAGGATCTCGTCTCAACTGGGCTCTTTCAGCTGTAGGTCCCAGTCTCAGGTTCTGGAAGGACTTGAAATCTAGCTTTCCCTTTGTTTCTCTTCTCCCACCCCCAAATCTCCCCTTCCTCCCAGTTTATTTTTTGGATGAAGTTCAAATTGGATTCTAGAATTCTGGGGCAAGCCACTTCTGCCCAAGATGCCTCTCGCTTGAAGATCTCTCACTGCAAGCTATTTTTTGCCTGCCTGGTGACTTTAGTGCTTAATCCCCATCATACTTTTAGGGGCTCACTAAAATATTTTAATTTCTTTTTAAAATCAGAAGGAAAAATGGACACCATCCAACCTGGATTATGTTTTTCCAATCAAGGTATAAAACATACATAATTTAAAACTTTTTTTTTTTTTTAATGGAGGAAGGGGTTCCAAAGGCAAATGTGTCTAAGGCCATGAAAGTCATAATGCGGTCCCTGAGTAACTTCCGCACTGAAAACCAGGGCCACATGAGACCAGCCAGTCAATTACCTGGTAGAATCAACCAAGATGAGCACAGTTAGCCTCAGGGCCCGGTCAAAAGTGCCAACTTCTTGCTCATCCGAGTTTCTTAAATGCAGCTCTAGGCAAGGAATGAGGCATCACAGAAAATCTCCTAGCTGGACCAGAGAAACCACAGGTCTTTTGCAGGTACGTCCCAGAGCCAAGAGGAGGGGCTCCATAAACAGTTTAACAAGGGATTCCAGCCTCATCGCAAGGCCAAACCTGGCCTGTGATTCTGTCTGCATTCCAGCAATAACCTGTATGACTTATGTCATGCCAACCTATATGCAACCAACACCCTCTCTGAAATCCTTTGTTTAAGCATTAATTGCCTTTGGTACCTCTGAAGTTCCTCTCCATTTTTTTTTTTTTTTTAAATAAATTGGTCATTAGTTGTGAACCAGGAGGCATTTTGGAAATTAATTGTTTAAACGCACCTGGCTGCTGATTGGGGTGCCACCTAGGATGGCACCTGAATTGATATGAAATATCCCAAAAGGAACTGTTTATAAACAATCTATGGAAACTTTTATTTCCCACAAATTATTGCTTGTTTTGATCTTTTAATGAAAGTTGCTGCCAACAGCTATAAATCTGGGATTGGCTGGCTTTATTCCACTTATAGCCATCAAGGCAGACTGATAACAGCTCCCTTTGGTGAGAGTCTCAGAGTCCAAGCAGCAAGACTGGCATGTGTTTTCTTGTTCTTTCTATACTCAGAAAAATAACAGACATTTCTTGGTCCCTCCAACTTTTCCTTAAGTTCTAATGATGGAGCCTTGAGATCTGCAGCAAAAAGCCAAGGGTTCCCCAAGTTCCAGAAGGCACAGAGGGACAGCTTGCTAAGAAATCAAATGCCCTCCTCCAGGGCCTGGGGGGTTCTCACTGGCAAGTACCCTGAAATAGAACATGCCCAAGGTGGGTGCAGATAGATGGCCTCTAGCCTCTCTTTCAGGCTGAAGTGCCTCAAATGGCTATGTTCCATGGCCATATGGAATGATGTAGGGCCTGAAATGCACAGGACTGAGCTCCGCTGACTTGGCCAAAGCCCTTTTCCAGACCGATAGTCTGAACTGGCAGGAGTGTGTTGGGAGACGAATTCCTTTAAACCAAATGTAAGAGAAAATTTTCTGTGAGTGAGTTATCAAATGGGAAATGAGGGATTGAGGCACAGACCTTGATTGGGATCATCCCATGGGACCTACAGTATTTCCACAAGACTTTCTTTTTAAGTATTTTAAGTGCTGGTAGTTTTAGAAAGTGTAACTAACATAAGGGAAAGGAAATTGCATGCCCAGGCACGAGGCTGATTTTCTCCTTCTCAGCCATGTTCACTGGCACGTTCTCCTCCAAAAACACTACCTAATGGAATGGAAGTGCGGTCAAGTAGCATAATTTTTAATTTCTTGGATGTTTGGGCCACTTCATTAGAACTAAGGATGAGAAAGTCACTCAAGTTCTCAATTCAAAAGTATGCTAATTTCCATCCATAGTTCTAAGTGGCTGCTTCATGGTTATTTCATAGTTAGTGCTCTGTTGAAAATGTTAAAAATGATCCCATGTCATTTTCTGATGCAGGAAAACACAATTCAAAATCATTTTTCTACTTTCATGAGTTGCTTTTTTCTTTCCACTTCATTTAAGTGATGTCACAATCACCTAAAACTATTTTGATAATGATGTGGTGTAACACACACACAAGCAAGGTCGACTGGCTATTAGCAATCCTAAACAATAGCATTGACCTTATCTTATTCTAAGATAAGATATCATATCTTATTCGTGAAACACTTGGTCATTGATACTAAGGAGGGAATGGAGAGGCTGAGTGTTTTTCTCCCTATTTTCTATTGTAGGAATAAATACTCGGCTAAAGAATCGCAAGTATTTTTACAGCTCCTATTACTTTCAATTTCTTTAAATTTTAAAACAAAATGACAAGGAAATGGCCAAAGTGTGAGAAAGCCATCCATTAGCTATTCATTTGTAAACACAGAAGAACCAAGAAGTTTGACAGGTGGGAAAACCAATGCCCTGGGGTTGACCGCCCCAGAAGCTTTTGTCTCTACCCCAGCAATAGGTTTGCCCCCTTGCTACATTTGGCATCCTCCATTTTTATAGCTTGGGGAAGAGGGAGCTTGGGCACTAGCTTTGTGATTATGCCGCTTGTTTAGCACCATGTTTGGTTAAATCCTACTTCTCTTAGTAACAACAATGAGCTAAACCACCGAGACACTGATTTCTTTCCGTCAGGCATTATCTAAGAATGTGGTTAGCTCTTAGGTCAGGTTGGTTTCGCCAGAATGCAAAGTTTCAATCTAAGCTTGAATCAGGATCATTTGTTTTAATTTTCCTCCTGTGAATTCTGCTCAGATTTGTGCGGGTGTTTTGAAGGGGCGGAGAGTAAAGTAGGCCCCTTCTGATTTCTCCAAAGGGGCCGAGATGCCCGCTCTCATTGAGTTCTAACTTAGATCTGTACCTAAACCCTGAGAGAGAGCAGACAGGGGTGGGAAGGAACAATTCTGCTTTTCAAATAAAAGTCTTTTCAAAATCTCACTACCTTTCATGGACATAACAAATCCAACTATTAGGCTCCTGATTAACTGCTTCTCAAAAGAAATGATGTGCCAGAGGCTTTGCCTATATTTTGAGAAGTAAAGTAGTAATTTATCAGTTAGCCAGTTAATGTGGGTCTGTAAGACACCTCTGTTGGTAATTTTCACCCCAAAATGATTGTGAGGGGCCCAAATTGGCCAGTTAAAGTGTGCACATAGACAGAATTTTCTTTCTTTTTTATTTTTCTTGGTTCTAAATTTGACTCAGGAAATTCCTAGATTAATTATATCATTTCAGATATTTCACTTTAATTTAGATTAGTGAAGTAGTAATTTTAGGGTGTGATAAACAACAGTGTTCACCCAGAGCCTTGAGCTTAACCAGAACCTGCCAGCACAGAGGCCTGGGCAGCTCTCAGTGCTCAGGGGCTGCTTCTAGAAGGCCCCACTTACCTATACTTTAACTTCACCTCTGTGTTGCTGTCTGGTGTCAAAGGGAGAAAGGGAAATAGAGGTCAGGGGGAGAGCAAGATAAAATGAGAGAGAGAGACAGAGAGAGAGAAATCGAGATGGAGAGGGAAGAAATTATAAAGTCTTATCGTATTCTAAATAAAGCAACATAAACCATTTTATAATACTGAAAATAATACAAACAAATCTGGCCTCTAGAGCCTAGTTTATCTTAACTGGCCTTTTTTCTTCCCTTTACCACTGATGAATCTTTCTCACTATTCCTTTAAAAGACTTACCCTAAGCAGAATGCATAAACCAGAGTAATCAATTATGATCAGTTAATCATTTCAACCAGAACATTTGAAAGTCAACAACTTTATCTTATTTCCTTCAACAAACATTCGAGTTCTAAATGCCAAACCTCAAATCAAAGTCTCAGGAGAAGTGGGGAGAAAGGTCAAGTTTGTCTTGTTACTTACCTAGTCTGAGATTTTGAAGGGATGGGAAACAACTTTGACTTAATCCCCCCTGTCTCTTCCCCTGACGTTTTCTTCTAGACGTTTGCAGTTCCCACTTTTTTTATCCAGACCCAGCCAAGGTGTGTTAAAGCTGACTGATCTTTCAAAAATGTTCACTTTTCCTTCTCTCCCCCTTGTTTCTTTCAGTTCTTTGCTTCCAGACAAGTCCTGACAAAGATGTGCCGGGGTTTAGGCGTTACTCCGCCCTTCCAATGATCTGACACTCGCTGAATTAAAAAAAAAAAAAAAATCTGCCTCCAGGAATCAAACTTTATAGGAAGCAGAAAGTTTCTCCTACTAGGTTAGGTGGATTAACCATTCACGAGCCCATAGGGAGAGAGGAGCAAAGGTTCAGAAGAAAGGACATTTCCTTTTATTACTTCTCCTTAACTTCTCTAGCCAGAAACCTGCCACGACTTGGTTTTCCCCTTCCCCACTGCCACGGCCTAACCAACAGGGGCTTGATTTAAGGCACTGGTGGTTCAGTGGTAGAATTCTCGCCTGCCCATGCGCATGATTTGTGGTGTAGCTCAGCACGTGGGGGTCAAGATGCTATGGGTGTGGTCGAGGTGCCTGAGACCTAGAAAAACTGTGAAGTTGGCAGGATTTATGTTCGAGAACTTTTCCCCCTCTTTCTCCCATTCTGACCCAGCCAGGTCAAGTCCACCTTGAGGAAACAGTGGGTGAACTAATTCAAAATAGATATTAATGACTGAAAATGTGGAAGAATTGGTGTCATAGGGATTCATTATTTAAATGAGGTAGCCAGATATAGTAATGCAGACTCCAAAGAGTGACATGTTTGTGACAGAATTTTAGGCATGTAGCCACCTAAATAATGGAGAGAGAGATACTCTTGGAGAGGGTTAAGGACTTTCTTGCCCCTTGAATCAGCAACCACATAGTCTCCACACACATGTGTGGACTCCCAGAGGCATTCCATGGGACAATAAGACTTCCCGAGATAGTCAATTTCCACCAGCCTACATAATTCTCATGAATACCTGGAGAGCATGTGGCTTTCCAGGACCCCAAAAGACTAGCTTAAGAGTTGGTGTAGGTAATATGGGAAAGTTTGAACTTGGGACCCACTCAGATGGTTCTTTGGAGCCATAGCATCTTCTCAGAACCCAATGTCAAGTGTGGATTCCCAATTCTGAGGCATCCCTCCAAGATCCTGGAGGGGGTGGGCATGGAATTCCTGCAGCAGAGGACCAGTGCATGTCCTCATCCTGCTATTGTGGGCACTCAAAACACATGGAAGGGTTTGAGCACCACTCACGGGATTCTCACTCCAAAGCTCCCAATATTCTACTTTGGAGTCATACATTTCAGAACCCTTTTGGTGATCTAGAATGTGCCACTACTGGGTTTTTGCTTGCTGAGATGTTCCTGCTTTCCCCAAATAAATACTTACTTAACATGTCTGCTGTCAATCTCATAGGAGGAGAGCACTGAAGAATCTGGAAGACAGAGAATATGAAATTGATATAACCTTGCATCATTTGTTCACTTATTCAATAATTCATGAATTAAACAAAAATATATTAACTCCTGCTTGGAGTCAGTTATTGAACAATATGCTGAGAGTTCAGTGGTGAAATATAGGCACATCCTCTGTCCTTATAGAGTTCATAGGCTAGTTGAGGAAGATAGGCCTTAAATAATGTATTATTCTGCTAGGACTGCCGTAACAAAATTCTGGTGGCTTAAACAACAGAAATTCATTTTCTCACAGTTCTAGATGCTAGAAGTCCAAGATCAAGGTGTTGGCAGGTTTGGTTTCTCCTGAGGCTTCTCTCCTTGCCTTGAAGGTGGCTTTCTACTTGCTGGGTCCTCACATGGCCTTTTCTCTGTGTGTGTGCATTCCTAGTGTTTCTCTCTATATGTCTTAATCTCTTCTTCTTGCAAGGACACCAGTCAGATTAAATTAGGGCCCCTCCTAAGGACCTGACAGTAATTTAATTACTTTTTTAAAGGCCATATCTCTAAATACTGTCATATTCTAAAGTACTGAGGCTTAGGCTTCACCAACTAAATTTGGTAAAGGAGACAAAATTCATAACAAGTTATGTACATGACAAACAATTATGTACCAATACATAATTAAGAATGTGATAACTATTGTAGAGAAAGAATTCTGGATTTTATGAGAGAGTGGAAGAGGAGATATATTTTGGGGAGGAATGTAAGGGGGATTCCTGCTAAGAAAATGACATTTAAATTGATAGATGAAGGTTGAATATAAATTATGTAGCTGAAAGAGGAGTTGAGAGTGTTCTAGAATCTAGACAGGGGAAAGAGGATTTGAGAAGACTCTGAAGTGGAAGACTTGTCGTCAGTTTGAGGAAGGGTGATGCTAATATGTTTGAATGCACCAAGCAAAGGGATGGGTGGCAGTGGAAGAGAAGCTAGAGAAATTGGCAAAGGCTAGATCATTTGAGGCTGCATACAAGGTGTCAAGGAGATGTTTTTTAGTAGTTGGTAAGTATTCTCAAATTGGCATTAGGGAACAACTCTATATAGTCACCATATTAGTGTTTGGATTACTAAGAAAGAAGAGAGACTGTAATTAATATTTTCTGAGGTCTATTATGTGCCAGATATTTTATATACATTATCTTGTTTAATCCCTACAGGGTGCACTACTATTATCTTCATTTTATAGCTGAGAAAAGTAGAATTTAGGGAAGATGAGTAACCAGGCCAAAGATCTTACATCTAATAAGTGGCTCCAGAGAGGAGAATGGGACTGGAAAAGGAGTTAAATAATTGATAATTCCTACATGATAAAGCCTTCATAAAAATCCCAACATTATGGGATTTGAAGGGCTTCCAGGTTGGCGAAAACATCCATGTTCTGGGAAAGTGATAACAACCCAACCCCATGGGGATAGAAACTCCTGCATTCAGGACACTCCCAGGCCTCTTCCTATGTATTCATCCATCTAGCTGTTCATCTGTACCCTTTATCATGTCCTTTAATAAATTGGTAAAGGTAAATAAGTGTTTCCCTGAGTTCTGCAAGCCATTCTAGCAAATAATCAAACCCAATTTGTAGCCAAGTTGGATAGAAGTTGTGGGGAACCTGGGGACCTACTACTTGTGATTGGCATCTGAAGTGGAGGGCAGCCTCATGGGACTGAGCCCTAACTTGTGGGATCTGATCGTATCTCCAGGTAGATAGTGTCAGAATCAGGTTAAATTGTAGGACACCTGGCTAGTGTCACAGAGAAGTCTCTTAGTGTCAGAGAGAATTGTGGGAAATCCCTCCCACATATCTAGTGTCAGAAAGGAAGACACAGGAGGAAGACTGGGAGGTGATTTTCTATACATTGCAGAGCCTATATTCCAACTGAGTCTTGAACTCTCGTTTCCCATGCCTGTGCTTACGATTTAAGTATGCCCATAGCTTTGAACTGAAAGGAAATAGGCAATATCAAAACAGATCAGGCTGAGGACAAATGACAAATTACATAAGAACTAAAACCGTCTGAACAGTGGGGATATTTTCAGTCAACAGCATTATGGTGTTGGTATAATTGATTGATGATTTTAGACAAAAATCTGTATTAAGAGTTGGCAATCATAGAGCAATCAGTTCTTCCATTTATATAACTACTATGTAAAACCAAACATGCTAACCAGCCTTTGAAACCAGCATGGTTGTTTTTTTCCTTCCCTTGGATTCTTGTAATAACTTTGGTATTCTCCAGGGACAATGGAAAACTCAGACCCAAAATAGATAAAACCTAAAGCAATTCATCAAGGATCCTTTAAGCTAACTCAATAACTAGTAAGTCTGTGGTTGTGTGCTCCCACATGTTTATGTGTGCATATGAGTACTGTTTACAGAGTCATGTACTAGGCCCCTTGGGAGAGAAGAAATTGGAAAGAATCTAAGTGCTTATATTCCAGTTATTCAAGGTTCACAGTTCATTGTGCTTGCCAAAATTCTTTATAATAAGACATCCTGGTACCTGGAAAGAATCCTTGGGCTCATTCAACATTCATATATTAAGTTCCTACCATATCCTGGTACTAAGAGAATTGTCTTTTAAATGTTTCACATTGATGAGAAAGCAACAAAATTCTTGCTATAATTAAAAAAGAGTCAGATTTAGGAGAGAGCAGTGACTAAGACACCGGAAAGGTGTTTCTTGTTCACTGCTCCATTTGGAGCTGTGTTAAATGAGTCACATTTAATCAATTTTTGATGGACCAGAAAGAAAATTTCCTTAAGAGGCAACTGGTTATATAGTCATTCTCCCAAAATTCTCTACTGACTTAAAAAGGTTAGTGAGAAAGGATGTCCATTCACGTGTAGCCCATATTGGCACCTGGTGACCAGACTCGTCACTTGCTGAGCAATGTGAGTATAGGTGTACCCCATTTTATGTGGCTGATGAGTTTCTGAAAAGTGATGTGTAAATCCAGATTTTGGTGACTAGGGTGTTTTTGTCAAATGACTGTTCACTACCATCTCTATGAGTTAGTGAAATATCTTTGTGAACAGATTTTTCTTTATTTGTTTGGTTTAAAGGAATGTGCCCTATAGATGGATTTCTACCTATTCTGTGACCCTCCTCCTATTAAACAGCTTTACATGATAGTGATATGTTTTTATGATACTCTCATCTAGGGATCTGAAGATTTTAGGGGACGCATTTGCCTGGCATTCCTAAGAGACAATAAAATGAAGTTTGCTGAGAAGGAGATGAGAGAAAATATTTTTATATTTAGTGAGATTATTTCACTATCTATAGTCTTTGATTCAGCTCTTTTGTTGAACAGTAAATCCACTAATTTTTTAAAGAATGAATTCCTACATATTAAAATAAAAATGATAAAATAATTATTTGTTGCAGGTTGCTACTACATTTCTGACAAGAAGACCATATTTCCTCCTAGCTTTCTCTTTGGTTAGCATGTACTCCTGGATAATAAGCCTTTCCTGTAAACGATTATGACAACAGCATATGTCACAGTTTATGGAGCATTTAGCTTTTGGAAGGCTGCAGCTGAGACATAATACCAACGCCTGCCGTTCATATCTGGGCTTAAGTTCTCTATCAGCTTTTCTTGTGTATAATAGCTCTTGAACTATTCCCAAACTGTGTTCCTTGCTGCCTGTATTATGA